TTGAGGGAGGGAGGAAAAGGCATTTGAAACAAACCAGTTCTACAGTGCAAACTTGGGGCTTTTCCATCTTTAATACAACAATAAAAACTATATCATGTTTTTAATCAAACAGAGAAAATTAGATTCGAACCAAATAAAAGTTTAAAAATAATTATTTTAAATTATTTTTAATTTTTACTGTTACAAAGTGTTCTGTGGTATCCTTATTAGAATACCCCCCAAGCGGGGTACGATAAACTAACATGAGTCTTTACTTTTAAACCTATTTTCACTCATTAAATTTAGATTTTTCGTATTGTCAATTTTGATACTTTTGTTGGCCCTGTATGTTTGATATTTAAGTACATCCCAGATAACAATTTTGCAGAAAATCCGCGGAAATTCCCAGGAATCTTTCACAGGAAAATCCGGTGAAAATGTCGACAGCAATTCCGAGGAATTTCTCATAACCCATTCCAAGGAATTTCTCATAACGAGGTCCGAGGAATTTCTTGTAACCCATTCCGAGGAATTTCTCATAACCCTATCCAAGGAATTTCTTGTAACCAATTCCAGGGAATTTCTTGTCACCAATTTTGTTGGCTGGTATAGGGTCTATTACGCTATATTTTACGGATTATGAATGAGACATCAAAATATATGAGAGACCATATCCCTGAATTGACAGAATGCACTTTTATACGTGAGGGAGGGACCTGACTATATTAATTACCTTTGCTTGAACCAGTTCATTTCAAAGGTTGGGACTGGTTCAGAATAATATAAAGATTTTTAAGATAAAATTTTGATAAAGGAATTGTGTCTTTGGTTCAAACTCAAAAATTCTAATTTAGAATATAGTTTTTAATATATATTCAATATATTAAACTAACTCATACTCCCGAGGAATTTTTAAAACAATTTGTGCAACAATAAAATAGAAAAAATAGTCTTTGTGTGTTTTACTTATCAATTATATGCTAAACTAATTATATATAAATGTTAAATTTCTTCTTGCACGTAAATTGTACACTGCGCAATTCGCACTGTACACTGTACAGTGAACGTACATACCTACAGTCCTGTATATGCTGTTGACCCTCTGTACATGTCTGGTCATAACTTCTATACAGGCTTCCTCAGATCTTCCCATCTTCTCATAGAACAGGTGTAGAGAGAGAAAGAAGTAGGGAAATGGTAGTATTGTATAGATTTTTCATTTTCATCAGATGAATTGGTAAGTTTTCGCCTTATTTTTGATTATGTCTTCTGGCAATGTTAACACTTTCCATGCAGCTTTTTATATATATATAAATTTGGCTTGTCTGTCTGTTTGTGTATTTGCTTCAATAAACGTCCCAAAAAAATCGGGCCCAAACTTTTTATGGCATTTTTTGCCGAAAAAATGTCAACTTTTATTATTATTGAAAATTCACCAACTTAAACAGAAAAATCAGACCGTTTAAAAATGGTGACTTTCAGAGAAATAGTTTTAAAGCTCTAAGATTGTTTACAGGAAAGAAAGTTCATCGCTCCAATATTTCTACGTCCTCCTTTGGTTTCCCCTTTTTACTTTCTCCATGTCGTGAAAAGAATTTCGAATTTCTTTACGTAAAGAAAATTGAACAATGAAGATGGGAGGCCAATGTTATCCTTTCACACTTCAATGGTACTGCACTACAGCAATAGAGTTATAAAGCATAGAGTACACATGGAGTTGACACGAGGTGGGGGAGATGTAAACTCTAGTCTTATAAACTCTTTTATTACAGTTTAGCCCCAGAACTTCAGAGACATCGAACGAGTTTATAAAATGGCGTTATTTAAACCTACTGATGATGGAATGCTGCAGATATCGAAAAATTGTCAAAACGACATTTTACAAATTCTTTCGATGCAAACCATGATTTACGTATGATATCATGATATGACATCATTTTACGGTATTTTCGTATTTATAGATCTGTTTCGCGTGTTAATTGAGTAAAAAAGAGAGAAGACATTTCAAAAGGATTGAATACTCTAAGATTAGAAAATGTAAAATCTAATTTTTATACTTTATGAGAAATATGGATGATTTAAGAATTATTTATTAAAAGACTTGTAGAACTCTTTTCTTTTAACCCTTGACATTATTTTTTTGAAACTTTAATGCTGACGCTTTTAAATGATACGGTGATACGCGAGAGAAATTTGTACACACTCTTGAATAAAAATAGTTTTTCAGATACCTAGTATCTATTTAATATAGGAGGACTCGAGAGGTTATAAAGCTACACCCACTCTATTTAAGGGTCGGAGAGGAAAATGTAATGGAGGGGAAGGGAGGGAATAATGTGAGAAAAGGATTTTCCAATTAAACTTGAAATTTTTTTTAAAAACTTTTTTTTGTTTTGTTTTTAGATGACTAACCTGAAGATAGAGCATACAAGTTGTTTTTCTGTTTTCTACAATTTGATTTCCAGTTCTACCATTGGCGAAATCAGCGGATCTCCGAATTTTGGAGTTGAAAGCATTTTTTTGAGCTTCTTGAGTTACACTATTAAAAATAGATCCAGAGTCATCCAGTTTTTCATATAACTGATTTGTTAGGTCTGGAAACATCTGGTTTTCCCGCGCCAGAAAACGGTTTGACATTTGCGGATTTTCACTGTCACGTGTCCGATGACTGACGCCATCTTGGAAATTTAACCTAATTTGATCTGAATGAATAGACTGTGAGCTGGACCGCTGAATGTGTGCAGGTAACGAATTAAATATCACAGAGTTGACTGGGACATGACGGGCAGCGTCAACAGGGTGGTTTACATCAGACTCACTGTAGATTACAACGGGGAACTCGGGATCTTTGAAATACCTGAAAAAAATAAGGTTATGTATAGTGTACAGTACACAACAGTTTACTTTGTACAGTAAGACTGCTTAAATGACGTCTTATACAGTTCATGGTCCCACACTGCAGTAAACAAATTTATACCATCGTACTACAAAAAACATATAAACAGCTTTTGATAGAGAAAAAGGCGCATTAGCTGAAAACATCAAAAGGTAGTAAGTTGAGACAAAAATTCATTATAATAACTATATCTATTCTGGGGTGAAACTTTTCCAAGTTATGAGTTTTTAATATTCTAAATTTATTCCTGTCATTTTCAAACATAATTTAAACATAAAATCATGCATTCACAATGACGTCTTCCTATTGTACAGTGTTATGGGTCCCACTGTACTGCAGTTAACAAATTTATACCATCGTACTGCAAAAAACATATAAAAAACTTTTGATTGATAAAAAGGCGCATTAGGTGAAGACAGGAAATGAAAGATTATTATAAATATTCTTCCGAAAAAAAACTATTAACAAATAGGCACATTTCATTATATATCTACATAGTATAATAAACTAATAAATAATAAACTAGACGTTATAAACCTTTTTATATCTACATAGTACATAGTAAACTAATAAATAATAAACTAGACGTTATAAACCTTTTTATCACTTTTAAAGTGCTATCATAATTTTAAGTTCATTTCATACTTCATACTAAAGGGAAATAAAATTCGAACGAAAAAATAAAGATATATAATGATAAATAATAAACATTTATGAATACAATCTAAAAGGGTTGAGGGGTTTTAGTATCTGGTCATATTATAAACACTACACCATGATCTAAATATTACATATTCATATTCATATTGCAACAAATAATTTCCCATAAACGACAGCTGACATTGGTATTATAATTTGATGTGAAATTCAGGGTTTGCCCTCGTATTGACAATGGACATGGCAAAAATCAGTTTCGAAACAAAAATGAGAATTAAAGTTTCTAAAGAGATCTACACGTTTAAGAAAATTGTTCATTAGCTAAAATGAGCCCTGGCCTAGCTAACTTTGAAATGTCCAAAATTTTCTTTTTACTGAAAAAATTTTAGAATAAAATTTCGGAAAAAGAATAATTAAAACATATTTCGTTTCGTTTTTATTCAGACTTTAGTCATTTTCATTTGACTTAAAAATGTCCAAAACTGAGATATAAAATAGACTTGCAATTAAAGTAATTACATACACATAATGTAATTCCTAACATAAATAAAATATTGGATTGTTTTGAATTATTATTGTTTAGGACTCGACATCTTCCCTAGTTTTAATTGCATGCACAAGAGATTTTTGTCAACTGTAATCGTACTTTTTTTTCGTTGTAAACAAGGAAGAGTATGGATGTTAGTTAAAATAGTAAAGATGTCTATCTCTCTGTCTGTTGACTGAACACCATAAAAGGAGAGATATCAGAAATACTTGAACAACCAGTTATACAGTTTATATTTCATCACCTATACATTCCTATACATTCCATCCTACATACTCATCAACAAAGAGTTTTGAAAAACAAAATTGTTCTTAATGTGTAATTATTACATAAACTAGAATTAAAATTTCCGAACATTCGCCACAAACTCTAATTTGACTGTATTTTGTAATGTTGACTATTTTTTGTAGAATTTAGGGATGAAAATCTAGAAAATTAAAAAAATACAAATTTAGAATCGTTTTTTTCGAACTTTTCACTTATTACCAAAGGGTGGGGGGTAATCATTGAGAATGGGGCGGGCCGTGCATGGGATATTGTATACGTCATTTGGAAATTTCAATAACTGGAATAAAAAGACGACATTTGAAATGCACGCACGACTGGTGTATTCGAGCTTGGCCAACCTTTGCCGTCCTAGTTTGGACTGTACCGCCAATTTACAATTGCTAAAGCGGTAGACCTGTGTAAATCTAAATACATGAGAGATTTTATGACTGAACTTAGAGGAATGAACTGAAAAAAATAGTTTTTATTTAATTGTAAACTGTAATTCAGTATCTTTTTTAAAAAAGAGTTGTTTTTTAACCTTTGTGACAGAAACAATCTCAAGGAATAATAATTTTCTTAAAACATTTTTTTAAAGTGAATATTTGCAAATTATCTTTTTTCCATCTGATAATCTGAGTTCGTTTCCCTTATGTCCAATGACAGCCCAAATTTTTTATTCTGAATAATCTTTTTGTTTGTTTATTTTCTTGTGATTTTTAACAAACATTTTTTTTATATTTTTTTATCGATTTTGATGGTTGTTATATCGTTAGAACTGACGAGGGTCAACCCAGGCTGAAATATATTTTCAATAAATGTGGAACAAACATCTACTTTTTTACTCTACAGAGGTTTGGTCCATCACCATCACCGAATTTTAAACGCGTCTATGTACATTGTAAAGTGTACAAGGCACAATTTCAAATCATAACTTGAGTCTAACAATTGTTTTACCTATTCCACGGTTTTATGGTATTTTGGCACCAAATATAAATTTTACTAAAGAAATTTACTTCTTGAATGTGTTGTATTGATTAAGTTTATAAGACTAGATATGAAAAATGCATCTTATTAATAAGATATAGACTCAATTGAATCTACATTCGTCAACATACATATTACGTAAACTACTAGACACGGAACTATAGTATCAAGTAGAAGGATGTATCGATGAGTTAGGATGAGGGAGGAATAGTAAATGGAAGAACATGACCTTTAATTCTATGAAGGCATCAAACCATAAAACAATCAAAGCAGTGGCTTTGTATTCCCATTCATGACGAGGTTTACATATTTTCGTCAAAATAGTTTTTTTTCAAATCAAAGATGGTTGCTGGAGTTTAATATCGATAAAATAAAACGGAATTGAAGAGTATAAAAACATAATTAAGAAAGCTGTCACCAAAACTATGCCCGCGGCATGAACATAGAACAATTTCTATGATGATTCAACAATAACATTTCAAACTAATCGACATGTAACAAAACTGTCATGGCGACTAAACTATTCAACATGTAACAAAACTATCATGGCGACTAAACTATTCAACATGTTACAAAACTGTCACGGCGACTAAACTAAGTATAAGCAACATAAAACAAAACTGTCATGTCGACTAAACTATTCAACATGTAACAAAACTGTCACGGCGACTAAACTAAGTATAAGCAACATATAACAAAACTGTCATGGCGACTAAACTAAGCAACATGTAACAAAACTGTCATGGCGACTAACCTATTCAACATGTAACAAAACTGACACGGTGACTAAACTATTCAATATGTTACAAAACTGACATGGGGACTAAACTATTCAACATGTAACAAAACTGTCATGGTGACTAAACTATTCAATATGTAACAAAACTGTCATGGCGACTAAACTAAGCAACATATAACAAAACTGTCATGGCGACTAAACTAAGCAACATATAACATAACTGTCATTGCGACTAAACTAAGTATAAGCAACATATAACAAAACTGTCATGGCGACTGAACTAATTTGTAAGATTAAGATTAAGAGTAACTTAACTATGACCAATTATAATTGTCTAGATTTTGCACGTGACCACCACGTGACAAAGCAAAAATGAAGATTGTTAGTATTTTGTATTTCATATTTCCAAGATTAAGAGAAACAAAGATTACTTCGTAAACAAGGATTCCCAGGGGTTTGTCATCAGAACAAAAGGAATACAAATCTCGTGACCAAAATTAAATTGTTTCATTTTTAATTTTTTTCTTTGATTTTAGCTGAATAAAGGAATTAGAATTAGGAGGGTCTGGATTGTGACTTTAGGAGTGGAGGGGGTCATAGTTCATAGCAGGCAAACATCTGGATTTTCCCACGCTGAAAAATACAGTTAGAAAATTCAAATAGATTCTAGTACAATACATGGCAACGCAGAATTTGTACACTCTCAGTACAGTTGTATTCTTACGTCACAAGTGTCAATTCAGTTTTTGTGTCCGACAAAATTATCAATAATAGTGATAATTTTAGAATAAAATGCTTATCTTACAGTAAAATAAGTGAAAAAGGTGCAATTTTATGTGTTCTTTATTTTCTGTTTTACACTTTAATATTCAATTTTGAAAAACATGTCAACTAATGTGAGAAAATTAGGTTTTTTTATATTTGACACTTGTGACGTCGAGTATAATTGATCCATTTCTCTGTTGCCACCTATTGTACTTGATAATCTATTTGAGAAAACTTGCATTATATTTACAAATTATATTTCCAAATTATATTTCCAAATTCTCACATTATCATGTACATTGTACAAAGAATGAAAACTTTATACTATGTTTATATGTCTATAAAATGAACAATTTCCTGGTCGTCTTTGAAGTGTCACAACGCTTCTGTCTGACTTTAAAGTGTAGTAGCCATAAACTGAGAGCGCTCATTTTCAGCTTTAGAATTGTACAATGTTTTGTACATACATTGAATAAAAATGTACAATTTACACTGTACAATGATTCATTCCGAGGAGGATAAAAGCATTGAATTTTGATAATTTTGATAATTCACATAATAGTTTACTATGACGAGAATATTTCATTGATTATTTTTGTAAAAATGGATTCCATGTCAGGCTCCGACATTCGTCTTGTGTTTATTTTTCCGCCCAAAGACAGTACACTGCAGTACAAAAAATGCGTACACCTGTGAAATAACTTTCCTTGCATTAGTACCTTGGGTGCAACCATGGAAGTATAAATGCAATGAAAGCAGTTGGAATTCCAAGTTGACTTTTAATTCAGGTTTTGTTTATATTTGGAAAATACCTCTTAAACCGGCTTTAATACCTTCCACGAGCAGCCGTAGTGCATTTGAATTTTCGAGCCGGGTCAACCTTTCTGGTCCCAGTTTGACTGTACCTAGCTCAATGGACAGGATTAGCCGGTGCAACATGGTTGACGCGGTCAGACTTTATGCTTCATATAGATTGAATTTACTTTTACTAAAGAAGCAAAGGTGCGTGCTTCAAATGATTTTCATTAAACTTAAGAAATTCTTTATTCGAGCAAGAAAATGGCCAAAAATGACCACTTTCTCTAGAATTTTTTTTTTAAAGAACTTGGTTTGATAGAATAGAGAGTCGAATAGATTTCCTTAAAAAATCCTTAATTAATAAAGCACAGGGGCGGACACAGGATTTAAGTGAGGGGGGGGGGCAAGATTTTTTAGGAACAAAAAAATTGATAATTAGGAACAAAATTAAAGGATTAGGACAGGGATTTAGGAACAATAAAAAGATTGTTCAAGAATTAGGAACAAAATTAAAGGATTAGGACAGGAATTTAGGAACAATAAAAAGATTGCTCAGGAAATAGGAACAAAATTAAAGGATTAGGACAGGGATTTAGGAACAATAAAAAGATTGTCCAGGAATTAGGAACAAAATTAAAGGATTAGGACAGGGATTTAGGAACAATAAAAAGATTGTTAAGGAATAAGGAACAAAAATATAGGATTAGGACAGGGATTTCAGGTGGGTCGGACACAGTATTAGGAACAGGAACAATAATAGGAACATTAGCAATTTAAGAACAAAAAGAAATTACTAGTTTCTTACGAATTTCTAATTCTAAATTTATCGATAACAATAACATTTACTTGTTGTTGATTTTTAAATTAAACTGAAGAAAAGACTTAAGATGTGCAGTGTGCCGCGTACCAATAAAACAAAACACAATGTCTGTTGTCGTATACTTACATCGTTGGTTATAAACTTATATTTATTTTTAACAAGCTAGAAAAATATTTTTTTCGTCCTTCTCTTCTGATGATTCAATTTTTCAATAAACATTAATTATTATATTTCCATTAAATAAAAAATAATCAAATAGCTTAAAATTGAAAAACACATACGATATATCAAATTGGGAACATTTTTTGCCTCGAAATCTCAGGGGGGGGGGGGCTACGCCCCTCCCTGAATCTGTCAGGGGGTGGCGAATGTCCCCCCGCCAACCCCCTGTGTCCACCCCTGAAAAAGCAGACAAAAGAAAAACAAAAGAGAGGGGAGTGTTAATTTAAATAATAGATATTTAATTATCTTCAAGAATTTCTGAGAAATTTGAACCAATTAATATTATAATAAGAAACTTTGAGTATACAAGTTTAAACCATAGATAAATAACAATATAGATAGAACACCAGATTTATGGGTTTTTCGTTCACAATAATCCTGAGTCATGAAGCTCAAAGGAGTTACGCTTATTCCGCGTTAAATGACAAGACAGAAAGAGAGCATGCGCGTAACTCCTTTGGGCTTCTGCCTCAAGGTTTTTGTGAACGAAAAACACATAAATATTAAAAAGACGGCATCTAGTGTTATATATCTGTATTGTTATTAATCTATGGTTTAAACACATCTAGTGTGCTATCTGTATTGTTATTAATCTATGGTTTAAACACATATAATTGTCTCTGGATCAAACTTTAAATATTGAGGAAAAATTGAAAGATAAAAATACAGATTTTTGAAAACTTTGGCGAAAATTCGCAAAGAGTTCCTGAGATAAATTGCGACAGCTAGATGATAAAGTATAAAATATAGAATTGTTAAAAACATTTAGACTTGTAGTGGTGGGNAGATATAGTATAAAGCTAAAAATAGAAAATCCGATTTTCTTGTTGTATATTTTTGAAAAAGCTTGCAACTAAAAAATACACATTGCCCTTTTTAGATAAAACTTAACATTCTTTTACTGTGGTAAATTGAAAAATTACATGATGTTATAAAAATATTTCACATTTCATAATTTTATCAACATTTTTTTTAATCTTAAGAAAATAAAAGAAAATAGTAAAACAGGGATTAATGTTTTTTTTTTCATGAAACGAAGGAATATATTTTTCAAATTTATTAATCTTTAATCTGACTTTTAATTTATTTTCAATTTCTTTCTAAAAGACCTACAGTTTTATATAAAGAAGCGAGAAAGAGCAGATAGAAAGTGGCAAAATGAAAATCACAAAGATAGAAAGAAAGATAAAAAGATATAAACAAAGAAACATAGAAACATAGAAATATCGAAAGATAGAAAGATAGAAAGATAGAAAGATAGAAAGATAGAAAGATAGAAAGATAGAAA